GACCTCAGGCTTCAGCGTCATCTCATTCGACACTCCATGGCACTCCTGCCAGTACCATGACAGTTGACAATCGCTATGACAGTGACCAGAAGAAACCATAAAAGGACAAAAAGAAGGTGGCACTCTCATTCTGAGAAGTTCCCTGCCCATTTTTGGAAAAGACTTGACTATTCTTCCTCTCTCTCTCTTTTTTTTGAGACGAAGTCTCACTCTCTCACCCAGGCTGGAGCGCAATGGCGTGGTCTCAGCTCAGTGCAACCTCTGCCTCTCAGCTTCAAGTGCTTCTCCCACCTCAGCCTCCTGAGTGGCCAGGACTACAGGTGTGCCACCACACCTGGCTAATTTTTTTTTTTGTATTTTTACTAGAGACAGGGTTTCACTAAGTTGGCCAGGCTGGTCTTGAACGCCTGACCTTGTGATCCACCCACCTTGGCCTCCCAAAGTGCTGGGATTACAGGTGTAAACCACCATGCGCAGCCCACCTCTTGCTTTTAATGGCCCACCCCTTCATTAGAGAGACCCTATATTTTAAGTCCCTCACCCACCACTTGGGAAGAAGCTGACTTGAGTGATGCTCCCGCTTGTTGATTCCACAGCCATTGAGTAACACCTGCCCTACCTGACACTCACTATTGGCTTGGTGACACCCAACACCAAAAGGGAAAAACCCCATCTTTTGGGGGTCCAGAATTGTTCATAACTCTCCACGTGTTTTCCATTGGGCCAATCACTGTGACTGGGGAGGAAGGGGTGAGACGAGATGCAGTTGGTGGTTGGTGTGAGCCTGGGTCAAAATCCATCCCTGACATGGCTCTGCGGTCAGGCTCATCCCAAAGATGTGGCGGAAAGGGGACTCCCCAGAGAGGGACCAGAGATACTGGTCTCAAGAGGGAGTGGCCGCTGGCAGGCAAAAGCAGCCTTCGACATGCTCATCTTCCAGCTTCTGCTGAGAAAAACGGGTTTCATTCCCTTTCACAGAGTGACGTATGACAAAATACGGTGTTGTTAAAAGGAAAATGGATATCAATCTGCTGTATTTTATTGCCTAGGATTTGGGGAGTTGTCACTTTGTGACCAAGACATCACTTGTATTTGTGTTACGGAAAGCCTCAAACAAACCCCTCCCTGATAGTTCACTGTTTTAGCAACACTGGGAAGAGGCGCCATTGCTTCTGCTTCTGTGGCGGCCGCAGCACACCCTTGTCATCAGGACTTCACGGCTCAAGGGCACAGCGCCTCAATCCCCTCTCCACAGTGCAGCATTTCAGGAAGCCTCTGCTACTGAATCGTGTGTGCCATTCAGTCCCTGCACTTGGTGAAGGTGACATTCAATTGTTGGGGGGACTCAGGAGAGTGCTCTGTTAACATTTAATCTCCCGGGGAGCATATTCCTGCATCTTTCCTAAACCAGTCTAGATGCATTCACATTGCAAATGTCATCTGGCCATGATGATGATCAAATGGGTCCCCAAGTGTAAAAGGCAAAGATGAGTGTCTGCCACGTAAGTGAGCATGTTTTAAGGGCATTCTCTTCTGTTTTCCTTGCTGAAGATGGATCCAAAGGAACACGTGACAAACCATGTTTTCAATAGGCCCCACGGTGGGAGGCCCCCATAACCCTACCTGCGTGAGGCAAGAGAAGCAAGTTAGAGGCTCAGATTTCATTCACTTATTAAGACATAGAACATGCTAGGTTCTGGGGGTTCAGGATCGCCAAGCACCATTTCATGTTTTCAAGAGGCTCAAGGGGCTGTCAGGGTTGAGGGCAAAGGCAGGCCACAGAGAAATGCTAAAAGAGCTGTGCATGGAGCTGCGGGAGCCCAGTGGTTCTGGAGTCAGAAAGCCTTGGGTTAAATTCCCAGCTCCATCACTACTTTACTCCATCACTCTATCATCACTCCATCATCACTCCATCACTCCATCATCACTCCATCATCACTCCATCACTCCATCACCACTCCATCATCACTCCATCACTCCATCATCACTCCATCACTCCATCATCACTCCATCATCACTCCATCACCACTCCATCATCACTCCATCATCACTCCATCACTCCATCATCACTCCATCATCACTCCATCACCACGCCATCATCACTCCATCATCACTCCATCACTCCATCATCACTCCATCACTCCATCATCACTCCATCACTCCATCATCACTCCATCATCAGTCCATCATCACTCCATCACTCCATCATCACTCCATCATCACTCCATCACTCCATCATCACTCCATCACTCCATCATCACTCCATCACTCCATCACCACTCCATCATCACTCCATCACCACTCCATCATCACTCCATCACTCCATCATCACTCCATCACTCCATCATCACTCCATCACTCCATCACCACTCCATCATCACTCCATCATCACTCCATCACTCCATCACCACTCCATCATCACTCCATCACTCCATCATCACTCCATCACTCCATCATCACTCCATCACTCCATCATCACTCCATCATCACTCTATCATCACTCCATCACTCCATCACTCCATCATCACTCCACCACTCCATCATCACTCCATCACTCCATCATCACTCCATCATCACTCCATCACTCCATCATCACTCCATCACTCCATCATCACTCCATCATCACTCCATCACTCCATCATCACTCCATCACTCCATCATCACTCCATCATCACTCCATCACTCCATCATCACTCTATCATCACTCCATCATCACTCCATCATCACTCCATCACTCTGTCATCACTCCATCAGTCCATCATCACTCCATCATCACTCCATCAGTCCATCATCATTCCATCATCACTCCATCATCACTCCATCACTCCATCATCACTCCATCACTCCATCATCACTCCATCATCACTCCATCACTCCATCATCACTCTATCATCACTCCATCATCACTCCATCACTCTGTCATCACTCCATCAGTCCATCATCACTCCATCATCACTCCATCAGTCCATCATCATTCCATCATCACTCCATCATCACTCCATCATCACTCCATCAGTCCATCATCACTCCATCATCACTCCATCAGTCCATCATCATTCCATCACTCCATCACTCCCAGTGCTGTATCCTTGGGCAAGTTATTTATCTTTTCAAACCTCTTTACCACCTGTGACAAGGGAATCATTAGATCATAAGGTCATATGGTATTAGATGCTTTTGGCTGGAAGTAATAGTACAATATCCTTAAAATAGGATTAGTCCTTGAGGTCATTTGCTCCCTCTGCCTAACAAGAAGCCCAGAGGGAGGCCTGGATCCCAACCTTAGTGGAGCAGGGTCTCACTGGCTTACCAGGCTCTGTTGTGCCCACCGCCCACCTGCAGGTCTGAAATTATGGTTTTTGACCTGGAAGTACTAAAATGTCTGTCCCCAGAAAAGCCACACTGTTTCCACTCAGCTGCAGGCCGCCAGCACCTGCCTCAACGTCCAACAGCAAGCAGAAGAAAAACGGGTTGGCCCTGCCTTCTTCCTTATCAGGGGGAAATGTTCTCATGGTTCCCCTTGCAGATAGCCCCTCACATCTCATTGGGCATAGCTGAGTCATATGACCATCCCTGAACCAATCACTAACCAAGAGGTGTGGGACTGGCTGGATGGCTCAGCCAATCATAAAGGAGTGCCTCTTTCCTCCGAACACTTCCGGGCTCCAACCGGAAGGGAGGCGCAGTGTAGGCTGGGAAGGAGTCTTCCGGAAGTACTGTGCAAACCGCAGGCCCCTGAGCTGTGCGTGGTGGGAGATGGGTGTGGGCTGGAAAACCCCGGGGGTGAGGCAGGGATAGAGTCCCTGGGAGTCCGGAGGGGACAGTGCCGGGCAAGCGGGACTTGGGCCCAAGGCAGGACGGGCAAGTGCCGCAGCCACAGCCCAGGCCTGGGCCCCGTGTGGGTTTGGAGGTGTCTGGCCGGTGTGGTGTGTGTGCGGGAAGCGGGTGGAGACAGAATTCGTGCAAGGGATGTCCGCATGGAAGCGGAGGCGTCAGTGCAGAAAACGCTTCTCCCTGGTGTTGGCGGCTCCAGCCCCGGGCCGCTGCGGGAGCAATGAGACCGGCTCCTCAGCGGCACCGCGCAGTGGACACCGAGTCCCAGCGGGGTGTCCTGCAGTGACCCAGGGCCCTGGCTCTGTCTTTCCTCTGATGCTCCCTTCCCAACCCTTGGCTTCCAAGGTTGGACTGGAGCTGGGATCAGGTCTGATTGAACCCCTCGGTCCTCAGTGCCCAAGCAGAGATAGAAGCCGTGGTGACTGGGGCCAGTGCTCCCACGGGGCTGCGTGACCCCTCTGTGGCCACCTCCTGGCCTGAGAAAGTGGTGGAAACATCTCCGGCTCATCTGGTCGTTGGGCGCACAGAGCCTGACCCACCATAACCACCACATGCATAACAAACGTCGCCCGTTCTTTCTTTTTGTTCGCTTCAGTGGGATGCGGTCAAAACCTTTAACTTTGTTTTCAGGCATTGAATGCATCCAGCTGCTGTGATTCTGAAGCAGTGTGATTTGCAGTCTTTTGTGGTTGCTATTCAGGACAGTCCTGTTGTGCTGGGCTTGACTGAAGTAGCCAACACGGTCATGTGTGGTCTCCAGGCAGCAACCTGCAGTGAGCCCAAGAGCCTCGTCTGGGGCTTCTCCTCCTGGAGCAAGGAACTGTCCTCTGTGTCCTCTGATCCCCAAATGTGCAGGCTGCGGGGTCGTGTAGAGAGATGGGAGGAAGTTAACCGAGGAAAAGTGGCTCTTGGTCAGATTTCCCTACCCCAACCCTGACACAAGCTCCTCACACACCATTGGTGGGGATCAGTCTCTCCATTTTCATGATCGGGACTTCATGCAAAGCAATATTTGGAGAAAACGCATGGTTAGAATCACGGCGCAAATGTTTGGTCATGATGTGCACTCAAGATCCAGTAAGCGTTTCCCGGTGACTTGGGAGCCACGTTCATGTGGTGTGACTATCACGGTGGGAACTGAGAATCTCTGGAATCAGTGGGGCAGAATCGGGTTCCTAGTGTCATCTGGTATCAGCTTGGTCTAAATCTGCTTTTCCAAGTATGGTGGGACAGTCTGGTACTTCGCGGCCCCTCTCTTCTAAGTGTTTACATAGCAAGTGTCAGTGCCCACATCTGCAGGGGCCCACTGGGGAACAGAAGCTGGCTTGGTCCACCTGAGTCGGTTTTGGTGGCCGCTCATCTCCCCAGGAGAGGCCAGTCCTCCCTCTCTTATCCCCTCCCCAGGGTCCTCCCTGTGACCCACCCACTATGACACCTCAGCACTCACTTTCCGGCCCTCAGGAACCAGGTGACGCATGCAGATGTGACCACAGGTTGTCCTCCCTATTCCTGCAGGAGCGGCTCTGGGCTAGTGTTTCTCAAAGTATGTCCTCAGGATTCTGTCATCAGAGGCACCTGGGAAAACAGTGCAGAGTCCAGCCCCCCTCCAGACCTACAGAAGGTGAATGTGGGGGCCTGGGAATGTGCATTTTAAGCATGTGAATCTGTCCTGGGGGTGGCGGGTAACAACACCTTCCTGAATCCAGACGACTCATCAGCTTACTTTATGTTGGATTGGGTAACTCCAAAGGATGATTTGACAATATTGAATCATTAGGAATGTTTGCTAAACAGCCTGGCCATGGGCTGGATGAGGAAGCTGTCTGTTTAGGGGCTCTGGATTCTACTGCCCTGGAGGAGTCCAGTCCCCCAGTGAACCGGTGCCCAGGGGGCTCCAGTGTTCTCTGTGGGGTGTCCCCGCGTGCTTCCTGGAAGCCTGCTCCTTTGCTTGGGTTGTGTCCCATTGCTTTGACCCTTTCTGTTCCTTGACAGCTGCCTGTACCTTTCTGCTGGGCCTCAACTGGAGTGTCTGTTATTTGTGGTCAAGGATTCTATTTCAGCTCTCTTGGGATCCCCTACAGGTGCCATAATAGAGGCTTAAGTAGGGTAGGTATTTAATAACAGCGTGGAAAGTTTCACCCCAAAGAGAGCACTCTCTCAATAATTTGAACTTTAATATTAAATTCCAAACCCAGTTTCTAGCTGAGTGCCCTCCGTTGCCATCTTGTGATGATTTCCCTTTTATTTCCAAGGATTGCTGAGGCAGCGATTGGAGAGGCTATGTAGTACCTGCAACCAGTTACGGTATTTCCCTGGAGGAATCCCTGCCAACCAAGGCCCCAGAATGGAAGAGGTGCTTCCCTTATCACCAGCCATCTCACACACAAGGAGGTGAGTTTCTCTCTGAGCTGGTTTTCCAAGTGATCTTATAAAGAATCTTTGACGGTGGTGCTGCTGGCCTGACCTGGCATTTTTCTCCCCCAGAAGATCTTCCCTCTTTTTGATCTGTGGCACAGAAGCCCCGCTAATGGTGATAAGGGCTGTTCTCAGGGTACTGGCATTCAGTAAAAAGCATCTGAAGCCAGATTGAAGCTTTCATATGGTTTGTGCAACAACTGGGAATGTTTCTCGGAATAGAGAGTGTGTGTTTAGGGAGGGAGGCTTTTTTGGGAGGTGGACGTAAATAGTTGAATTCTCAGTTATATTGTGTAATCGCTGATGGTGAATGAAGCTCTGCCTTTTCCCTGGAGAAATGCATGTGAGAGCTTAGCTCTGCTGCATCATAACTCTAATTCTTCTCTACACTGAATGTTTATTTTTCAATGGATAAGAATGACTGAGTTACTGGTAATGTGGATATGCACAAATTACTCATTTTAGAAGAGTTTCCTTCTGTGCTGGATGGTGGCTCACACCTGTAATCCCAGCACTTTGGGCGGCTGAGGCAGGAGGATTGCTTGAGTCTGGGAGTTCAAAACCAGCCTGGGCAGCAAAGTGAGACCCCATCTTTACTAAAGGTAAAGTTAGCCAAGTGTGGTAGTGCTAATCTGCAGTCTAAGCTATTGGGACAGTGAGGCAGGAGGGTCACTTGAGCCCGGGATTTCGAGGCTGCAGTGAGCTATGATCACACCACTGCACGCCAGCCTGAATGACTAAAAAATAAATACAAATTATAAAGTTTCTTCCTGCTTGATTTAGTGAGTAATATAGAAATTGTTTCTGTGGTGATCGTTGCAGTTACTGAAAAAGCGAGTCATGGAGCCAGACGTATCCACGAGATGCTTGTTTCTAAGGTTGGGATCTTACCAAGATGGTTGTTAGGGAGGATCCCAATATATGCCATAGAGAGAAGTGATAGCGAAGAAGTATGCTTGCAAGCGTCATTTCCACTCCGTTCCGTTCCATCCCGTTCCGTTCCATCCCATTCTGTTCCATCCCATTCCGTTCCGTTCCATCCCATTCTGTTCCATCCTGTTCTGTTCCATCCCACTCCGTTCCGTTCCATCCCATTCTGTTCCATCCCATTCCGTTCCATTCCATCCCATTCTGTTCCATCCCGTTCTGTTCCGTTCCATTCCATTCTGTTCCATCCCGTTCTGTTCCATTCCATTCCATTCTGTTCTATTCCATCCCATTTCATTCCATTGTGTTTATTTTGTCAGTTCGGGCTACTGTAACAAAAATACCACAGACTGGATGACTTAAACACGAACACTTATTGTTCACAGTTCCGGGGCTGGAAAGTCCAAGATGAAGGCTGTGGCATCTGGTGGGGGCCCACCCTTCCTGTGTCATAGATGGTGCCATCTCGCTGTGTCCTCCCAAGGAGGAAGGGACGAGGAGCTCTCTGATGCTTCTTTCATGAGGTTGCCAGTCCCATCATGAGGGCTCTGTGCTCATGATCTCGTTGTTACAAGACCTCTGGGCGGTTGCTTTTCTGGCTGGAAACCTGTGGTTGGAGGTGCCTTTGTCAGAGCTGTTCTCACGCCCACTGGGCTTCTTCCACCCACTCAGCCTGGCAGACTGCCCTGGCTTATACCCCCGGCCTGTCCCATGCCTCCAAGGGAGACTGCAGGTCAGACGTGGAACAGTGAGGGGTGTGTGAGCGAGGATGGGGCCTGGCCACTGTGCAGTCAGACTGCAGGGTTGGCTCCTGCTGTGGGGTGGGCAGCTCCAGGTGCCAGCATGGGGGCTGGCTCTCTGTGAAGCTGTGGCTGGACCAGGGACACCACAAGCAGCTTCCCTGGCTGGCACTGGGGAATGTGGTGGTGCCTGGAAGCTTGGAGACGCCAAGAACCACAGGGCCCCAAAGAGGGAGTCACAGCCCTGGCTTGGGGAGCTCCCAGGTCTGGGGTCCTTGAGGACAGACAGCGTGGTAAGCAGGGGCGTGTTTTAGCCCTGTGTGTGTCACAGGTCTTTTAGCCTCACCTTTCAGCAGGTCTGCAGTTCTTGTTCTGTGACCAGGAAGAATGAAGGGTGCAGACAAGTGGAGGGTGAGCTACGTGAAGAGGAGCCTTACTGAGCAGTAGAACAGCTTAGAAGAGACCCACAGGGGCAGTTCCTTTCCACAGCCAGGATGTCCCACGAGTGTTCAGCTATCAGCAGAGAGGGTGGCTCCTCTGCAGCTGGTCATCCCTTTGTCTGCTCTGGCTGAAACTGGGCTTTTACGGGCCTCAGAGGGGAGGAAGTGTGTGCTGATTGGTCCATGGTCAGCCATGGGCAGACCCGGAAAAGGCATGGCAAGTTCCCACTCCAGTCTGTGGGACTGGCAGCCCCGCCCCCAGCCTGCAGGCCCTTCGCAGGGACCTGCCCCTTCCTCTCAGGAACCTTCTGCCTCCTGTCACTGTCCATGGTGCCCAGGCTGCCCACAGCAAGGGGTACGTGCTGGCCAGTGGAGCCACCCTCAGCCCCCAACTTGGTCTCCCTGCTATGCTTGTCGGCACCCAAAGTTTGGAGGGGCCTCAGGCGGCCGGGGCTGTGTCAGCACTGCCCCAAGCATATGCACATCCAGCTGGGCTGTGACAGTGCCTGGCTCAGCCCTGCCTTGCTCTGAGATTGGAGCAGGTGCTGGCGTGGGGAGAAACCAAGCAGCAGGAGCAGGCACCCTCCAGCCCACAGTGGGGCAGGGACCTACCCACCCCGGGAGTGCAGAAATGCCTGGGTCCATGGGGGTGGCAGGACAGCTGCAGCTGCACCTGGGAGCTCATCTGGGCTCCGCTGGCCCTGTGGAGCCTGCAGCCCCGATGTGCTCCCCGGAAGCCTGGGGTGGTGGCTCCAGGTTCTCTTTGGTCCCAGGCTGTGTCCAGGGCAGGAGGGATGAGCTATTCCTATGGCCCCAGTGCTCAGGGGTGGCTGGAAGCTCCTCCTTGCCTGACTGGCAGCTCTGCCCAGGAAGGGGCACCTCCAGGAGGGGATCATGGATCCCAGGCTCTGCCATCCAGAACATCAGGCTCGGCGGCCACCCTAATGTGGGTTGGACCCCTGGGAAACAGCCCTGGCCCGACCTCGCGGAACCTCCTCCTAAGGTGCAGGAACCTGGTGCCTTTGTGCAGGTGAGCACTGTGGCCATGCTGCTGGCTGGGTCCCCAAAGTGGGTGCCACCCCCACTTCACACTCTGGGCCCCCAAAGTGCAGCCCCAGTTCTGCGCCCCGGGCCAGCCCCAGCGAGCTTTGTGTGCAAGCGCAGCACCACTCCGAACCCAGCTCTGCCTTGGGGACGGACCCTTTTCTTCTCACCCCTGAGTGCCTGACTGCGCTGCTCTCCTGCAGAAGGGTGACTCTGCCTGGTCCCGTCACGGTGGTCCCCAGGGTAGCAGCCTCTGGGGGGCTCCTAGGGGCGGACTCTGGGGACTGTAGTCCCCTTCCCCATAGTCGGGTGGGTGAGAGTGGTCCCGTGGAGGCTCCGGGCCTGGGGGTGGGTCTTGCTGGTTCCTGAAAGGGTGGGAGTAGTGCAGTCAGCTGCTTCAGGGCTGCGGGACACAGGGGGCGCGGGGCACAGGAGGCGCGGGGCACAGGGGGCCCGGGGTGCAGGGGGCCCGGGGCACAGGGCACAGGGGACACAGGGGATGCCGGGCACAGGGGGCATGGGGCACAGGGGACGTGGGGCGCAGGGGACGCAGGGCACGGGGGACAGGGGACACAGGGGATGCGGGGTGCAGGGGATGTGGGGCGCAGGGGACGCTGGGCACGGGGGGAGCGGGGCACGAGGGGTGCGGGGCGCGGGGGGTGTGGGGCGCAGGGCGAGAGGGGCACAGGGGGCACGTGGCACAGGGGTCCCATCTCTGCCACTGCTGGTCCCCCAGCCTCTCCTGCTGCTGCTCTCACCTCCCCGCTGCAGCTGGTGCAGTGGCAGCCGCTGCTCCGGACAGTCACTGCTGCCATCTTAATCACCTCCAAATGCCCCACCCACTGCTGCCACCATTATCACCTCCAACGGCCCCACCTCCTAAACCCATCACCTTGGAGGTCAGGGTTTCAACATAGGAATCCTGAGAGAACACAGTTGGTAACACCACTCCTTGGTCTTTTTCTGGATCAGCTGGTGTTATCATATCCTCATTCTTTAACTTACTAGTGTTGTGACCCAGAGGGCGGACCCGGAGAGAGGCCGACCCACACCGAAGAGAGGCCGACTCAGACCCAAAGAGAGGCCGACCCGGACCCGAAGAGAGGCCGACCCACACCGAAGAGAGGACGACCCAGACCCGAAGAGAGGCCGACCCACACCGAAGAGAGGCCGACTCAGACCCAAAGAGAGGCCGACCCGGCCCCCGAAGAGAGGCCGACCCACACCGAAGAGAGGACGACCCAGACCCGAAGAGAGGCCGACCCAGACCCGAAGAGAGGCCGACCCACACCGAAGAGAGGCCGACTCAGACCCGAAGAGAGGCCGACCCACACCGAAGAGAGGCCGACCCACACCGAAGAGAGGCCGACTCAGACCCGAAGAGAGGCCGACCCACACCGAAGAGAGGCCGACCCAGACCCAAAGAGAGGCCGACCCGGACCCGAAGAGAGGCCGACCCAGACCCGAAGAGAGGCCGACCCACACCGAAGAGAGGACGACCCAGACCCGAAGAGAGGCCGACCCAGACCCGAAGAGAGGCCGACCCACACCGAAGAGAGGCCGACCCAGACCCGAAGAGAGCCGACCCAGACCCGAAAGAGGCCGACCCCACCGAAGAGAGGCCGACCCAGACCCGAAGAGAGGCCGACCCACACCGAAGAGAGGCCGACCCAGACCGAAGAGAGGCCGACCCAGACCCGAAGAAGGCCGACCAGACCCGAAGAGAGGCCGACCCAGACCCGAAGAGAGGCCGACCCACACCGAAGAGAGCCGACCCAGACCCGAAAGAGGCCGACCCACACCGAAGAGAGGCCGACCCCAGACC